ACTGGAAATAGAGGCCTGTGCTACCACGCTTAGCATAAGCACATCTTTGAGCGACTACAATTCCCATTAAAATAGCTGTCTCCTGAGGATCAGATTTTACTGTCCTGTTTTCAATACATGGAATGACCAATAGATTACTGAGCATGCTTCCCACATTTAAAAATGTTTATTGGAGCAGGCATCCTCTGTTAAATTTTTAAAGCACAAAATAAGTTAAAACAGAACAAATGGGTCAAGATCATATGCCTATTGGACAATTATTCAAAATGTGCATGTCCACTTATTTTTCTGAGTTGTGGATCAGGAACAGACAAGGCAGGGTGAACATGCTGAGAAGAGATCAGAAGAGCACAGCTAAAACACAAAGCAGGCTAAGGTGGGGAGAAGAGAGAGAAGCCCCGCAGAGACCCAGGAAGTTCCCCTCTCAAACTCTAAAGCAACCCCCAATAACATAAAGGTGTTGGTAATGGGAGAATTTTACTACTAACAAAGGTCGGGGCTATGAGAAATTGAACTCACTAAAAGACACTACCATTCCACCGCCTTATGCATCCTCCCACAGTAGCGGTGCTGGACGACTTCCCAGGAAACCAGTCGGGACAAATATGAGCTGCTTGGAGCCACAAAGAGGGCGTGCTCTCTGAGATGGTGTTTTAAGAGAGAAAGTGAGAGATGAGAACAAGGCTATGAATGTTCAGTCTCATCTAATCCCAATGATCAGAAAATCCCTCAAGAGGAACTCAATGAGATACAAAAAAAGAAAACAGTGAATCTGTTGATGGATACCTTCCCACATGGAAGTTCTCATTAAATGATGGAGAAGCATCCCTACTATTAATTCAGAAGAGTTGGAGAAAGTCAGAGCCTAAGTCCAACCAACTGCAGCAATCAGTATGGGAAAGGGTGAAGAGCATGAGAATGACCATTGGTGCACTGCCCAAGGAGCTGGTTGACAAGAAGGCTAAAAAGAAGCCTATAACTCTGGCATCTTCTAGGCAATTTCTGTTCCTTCAGACATCTTTCTTTGCTACAATCAAGGCCCACCATACACTCCTCCCTTTCCTTTTCATTATCATATTCATATCCTCACATGGTCTGGACATCCTGTTTTAAGCGGCAGAACGTTTTCCTTTGTTTTATGGAGATGCATGCCCTGCGCACTAGCCACAGTGCTCAAGGCCTTTAGCTGGTGTCTGACTCACAGTGTGGTGTAACGAGAGGAAAGCAGTGCTTATCTTTTTGGTTGACTGCTGGCAAAGCAACTGAAAGAAAAAGGTACTGAGCATTCTGGAGCCTCTGTTCTGAATTATGTGGCAGGCTGGCAGTGATTAAAACCCCACACATCATGAATTGTGTGGAAGAAAAGGTGAACTGGACCAGAAGAAGTATGTTTTCCCCTCAGGTGAGTAAAATCTGGGATTATATGACTATTATTTATTCTAATTAGAGTTAGAGATAATCCTAATTTGACAAAGGCATTTTATTTTCATACTGAAAACTAGCATTTAATTGTGTGGTTCATGTCAGAGCTACCAAGGATGATATATCTGTACTAGGGATGGCCTTTTTAACCATCAGGCTGAGTTCTCAGGGGCCACAGGCATCAGGAAGTTGCTGACTGTCACAGCTCTGTCCCATACTAGAGAACAAAACAAGGATTCTGCAAGTGCCTAACACTGACTAAACTCAGTCCATAGTGGGTTACAATTATGAGATAAATAAAAGCTAGATTATGTGGCTTCTTTCTGTTCTATAGACAAGGTTCATTATTTCACTTTATTGTTTTTAAATTTTCAGCAAATCTGTATACTATAAATTTTATGACCAACAGATATCTGTGTTGGGCTCTTTATGCCTAGTGTTGAGCTCAGTGTCTTGTACATGCAGATTCCACAAACATTTGAATGAATTAATTAATTAATTAGTTAATAAATTCCAGGTGCCATAGCTTTTAAGGTGGCATATGAAAGGTCATACACAATATCATCTCTTTAAAATTGTATGAAGAAGGACAAATGCACATAAGTATAATAGAACAAGGTGGACAATAATAAAACTTGGGAATTGAGTTGAAGCTGGGAGTTGAGAAAAGAAGTGTTGGTTTTACCTCGGAGTCTGTGTTTCTCCATCATTGACATCGGGAGAGGGCCAGGACCATCTCTGCATGACATTGTGAGCAGATGGGGTCCAAAAGGTCCCCCGAAGAGGAGGAGGACGGTAACTTGCAACCTGGCCCCACGGACCAGGTTTGTCCACTGTTGTTGGGAGCAATGCTACATAATTCTAGGGAAAAATCATTTGGTTGCCTAGTTCTCTTGCCTACAGCCCAGCTACAGAATAACTCCAGTTTGGCCTCTGGTCAAAACTGAGACTTCAGTGATCCAGTGATGCTGTGATTCTCCAGGACAAGAAACATCCTGGGAGAACAAACATCTGCTCAGTTCCGCATTGTTCTTGGACTGTTAACATCTTATTTACCCGATATACTGAATTCTCTGCAAGTCATTTCTTACGAGGTACTGAATAAAAGGTGTGGTAAGCTGGGGGCTTTTGTCTTTGCTGCCCACAGCAGCACTGATCAGACCCAAAGCTCAGCTTCTTCTCAGTCTCATTTGTCTACCATTCCTGTAATTCGCCGTGTGCTGCCGTGGCTCACAGGAGACTAGGACTTACTGCAGAGGTTCTGGTAACGTCCCCTTCCCCTGTCCCCTACACACTGTCTTTGTAGAAAAAGAAGTCCAGGTCACAACAGGGTGAGACACAGACAGATTTGTTAGGCAAAGTTAAAGTACACATTCAGAGAGAAAATAAATGGTAGGCACTCAAGAGAGAAACATGCTATGGTCTGTGGCTGGGGATCTATATGAGCTCTTGGAGGAATCCTTGAAGATGGATTATTTCAGATGTTTTGCTAAAAACATTGTTTGAAATCCTTGAATATGCTTCTTCACCTTAAGATCAGGTTGCTGCCCTCTACTTTATCATCTAAGATAATTTATGTATTTACAGTATCTTTAAGGGATTTGAGTGTGAGGGATCTGGAAGGAAAAAGCAAAAACCAGCCAAGGGGATATAAACAAGTGCGACAGGAGTAAAGACATGGTGCACAGATAAGGGTGACATTGGGTATCTTTGATCATGCCTTGGAATTGCAGCTTCTTCTTCTCCTTTCTACCTGTGTTTATTTCTTCTACTCTACCTAAAAGCTAGTTTCTTCATGTTACCTATATGAAAACACTCTTGGCATTTTCATATTGTGTCTGGCTCTTTCTGTGAAGCAAAAATTTCCTGGGTGAAAATACAAGGAAATAAGATTGAAATGACAAAAATAATATGATTTACTACCTCTGGGGTGTTTATTATGCATCGGAAACTAATTTAAATGTTTCATGTGAATCATAGTTCAATTCTGCCAATAATTTGCAGTGCAAGGTAAAATTATCTCCATCCTGAAGCTGGAAAATGTAAGACTGAGCGATCTATAGAACATTACAATGGATATGAAGCCCAAGCCAGAGACCCTCAGACAGCAGCATTCACTGCCCACCCCAACATATCAAGGCCTCTCCTAGGTCCTTTCTCTTCTTCTAAACATTCTCTTAACATCCTTTCTGGCTAAGGTTATTTCCTAAGAGCAAGCCAGTGGAAAGGAAAGTGAATGCTCCCTGTGCTGGCACAGGCTTGGGAAGGTACAAAAGCTGGCCGTATCTTGGCTTCATCCCTGGCATTTGGGGCACAGCTCAGTGTGCTATCTGCACAGTGAGGACGACACTGCCACCCTCGGAGTTTTACATGAGGTAGATCAGGTCACCCAGCACATGTCTGATTCAACTAATGATTGTCTCCTTCTAGATCGTGGCCATTGTCCCCTACTAAGGTAGTTTCTCTATTATGAAGCTAAAGAAAGTCCAAATAAGTGAAGAAGATCACATGAGGCTATGTGTATTTTATGCACCCACTTTCCTGGATCTTTGGATGCTCAGGCATCTGGTAAAATATTACTTCTGGTTGTGACCCTGGCTCTCAAGACCTCAAACCACATTGCCAGCTCCCGGCATCTACAGCTTGAGGGTGTTTGATTATGGGGCTTCTATAATTTTATGAGCAAATTCTTTATAATTATTCTCATTTTATGTTTACCTATCTACTATCTATCATCTGTCTGTCCACCCTGTCAACTCTGCCTCTCAAAAGAACCCTGATTAACACATAAATCAAACAAAGCTTGCAGGTACAGTACATACCTGCCTCCTGTCTTTTCTTTCAACATCTTCATAAAGATGCAATTCACATACTAACTCACTCTTTTAAAATGTGCAACTCAGTGATTTCTAACATTTCCACCTTAGCTGTGCAGCTAGCAGCATGGGTGACTTTAGAACATTTTCATCATTCTGAAGAGAAGCTTCATATGCATTTGTAGCTACTCCTCTTACTCCACTTTCTACTCCCTGGTGCTGAACACCACTCATTTACCTTTTGTCTCGGCAGACTTGCCTGTTCTGGACTTTCCTATGCATGGAATCATAGAGTTGAGGTCTGATATGACTGACTTCCTTCACTTCTTGTGATGTTTTCAAGATTCATCCAAGTTTTACCAGTTATTTGTATTTCATTCTTTTTATTGGTAAATAATCTTATATGTGTATAGCATGTGTTATCTATTCACTAACTGTTATACATTCAAATTGTTTCCACATTTTAGGTGTGTGTCACTAAAAATATCAGTACAGGTTTTAGTGTGAACATGTAATTTCATTTCTTTTTCCCACAGCCCTTGGAGCAGAATTGTTGAGTCATTCTCCTTTATCTCTGAGCAAAGGAAAAATACTATGAGAATGAGGAGATACGGATAATTCATGCAATTTGTACAAAAAACACTGGTAGTGCTATATCAAAATATATTAGCTTCCTGCTGCTGCTGTAGCAAACTGCCACAAATTCAGGAGTTTAAAACACCACATTTTTAGTTTTCGAGGTCAAAAGTCCAAAATGGGTGAGCTGAGCTGTAGCCTCCTGGAGGCTCCCAGGAAGAATCCCTTTCCCTCCTTTCTCCAGCTTCTTAGGTCTCCTTGAAGAGGATTCCTCACTTCATCTGCAAAGGTAGCTGCAAGCCTTTCTGTGTATTTGTCCCCACCTCCCAATCCCAGTTTCTGTCTCTTTTTCTTGCTCTCCCACTTCCCTCCTATTTTAATCCTCACAATTATACTAGGACACCTGGATAACACAGAACAATCTGTCCATGTCAATGTCCTCAAGGTAACACCTGCAAAGCCTCTTTTGAGATATAAAGTAACATTTCAACAGTTTTCAGGAGTAGGAGATGGACTCTTTGGGATGGCAGGTCATTGTCCTGCTGAGCAAAGGAAGAACATAGAAATTATGAATAATTTTTATACTAAAGACTGGAGGTAAGTTGTCTGGTCCACTGATATAAACTTGGCTTATCCAAGTCTAGACATTAATTTTTATTTTATAATGGAAAAGAAAATTGTTTGCTGTCACTTGATAAATATGAATTTTAATGATACAGAAGTAGTTAATGAGTGGATTCCTGAATAAGCCTGGATCAGGCTTCAAGGGATTAAATCCTAGCTCGTATATCAGGTGAGTGCTTTGAAAATTGTTTACACTTTCTGAGTCTTAGTTTCTTCATCTGTACAATGAAGAAACAAGAATATTATTTCACAGACTTGCCCTTTGGCAGCTTCTGACCTTCACCTGTATATTGCATCTAAGTTTCAGTTTCTTTATCTGTAAAATATCCACCATCCAAGGTCATCATATGTATCATTCGATATACTGGCATGCCTAGACAAGACTGGCTGGTTGTTCCGTGGTTATCATTTGTATCTACTAATTTCTCCATGAACCTTAGCTTACTTTTTCTAATGAAACACTAGTATGTTCTTTGCATAGAATGCATCAGAGAAAACTTTCCTTGTAGGCTTTTTCACTTTGATTTAATATAAATGATGAAAAGGTAGCCTGGAACATTTCACACATCTGTTATAAAACCCTTGAGAATTGGCTGGAAGAAAAGATTTGAATCCAAAGCAGGTGGCTGGGCAGGATACACTGGACTGTCTGAGGGGCTGGACTCCCTCAAAAGCTCACAGACTAAGGAAAAAGTCCAAGGGAACAGTGAGAAAACAATAATTAATGAAATGAACTCTGTGTTTCCAGCACTCATGATAAAGTTTCTGGGCAGAGCCAAAAGAGATCAATTCCACATTTTAAATTCTCCATCTAATTCTGACCCTAAAAGAAGTGAGGTCCTCATAGAACAGTTCACCAACAAGGAGGCAAGGGTCCTAGGCATTCTCTGTGTGTTATTTCTCTGCATACAATTGTGGCTTGAATGGTTTTTCTCTAAAAGTCATCTGTGGAAGGGCCAGGGATTTAGCTCAGTGGTTCCGGTGCGTGCCTCGCAAGGTCAAGGTCCCAAGTTCAATCCCCAGTACCAAAGAAAAAAACAAGTCATCCATGGAGGTTCAATAACCAAGAATTTCACTTTATTTAGGTATGGAGTCCTTGAGGACATACTTTGTTCAAAAAGAGACCATTATCATAGGCCTTCATCCAATATAACTTACATAGTCTTATAAAAAGAGGAAGTTTAGACATAAATATCCACACCAAGAGAGTGAAGTTGAAATCAAGGTGATTCTTCCACAAGCTGAGAGATGCCAAAGATTATCAACAGCCCCAGAGGCTGGGTAGAGAGGTACGGGAGAGATTCTCCCCCACGACTCTCAGAAGGGAGCAACCCTGCCAACACCTCCTTCTTGGACTTCTGGTTCCCATAACTGTGAGGCAGTAAATTGCTGTTGTTTGAGTCACCCAGTCTACAGTACTTTGTTATGAAAGCTCCTGCAAACCAATATAACAACCCACAGAGTAAGGTATTATTTCCCCCACTTTTTGGAACCTAATTCTTTCAAGTTCGATTTTCGTGCTTGGGATACCATACTTGGTGATTGGCAAATTTGTTGCAACAGCCTTATTCCAAAGCACCCACTGTTGGGCCATGTGGGTACCATTTTCATCTTTTCTCTAACATGTTTTAAAAGAAAAATTCTCCTCATTATAGATAATATTGCACTGGGTAGCTAAATTTCCTCAGAAATCTGGTTAATAGAACACTCATTTATACCCGTAAAGACTATTAAATATTATTCACCTGCACCAGTGAGAAACATCACAGCGTTACAAAAATCATAACAAACATTTAAGCAGTGTTTAACAGCACTTACTGATGTTGATTCAGGTTTTTACAGGAACTCCTGTGAGGGGATATTGGGATTCCAGAGAAAGAACACATGTAAAGTCTGAGAGATTAGCTGAAGTCAGGCAGTGAGCATGTGGCCAAACCAAGACAGGAACCAAGGGTATCCAGTCTAACATGTTTTCCTACCATGACCACAGAGCCTACCTGCTTTCTCTGGATCTGATATATCTGCTCCTTACCTGGAAAATAAACAAAGCACTAAGCAGTTAGGATACCCTATTACAAACCATGGTCTTTGGAGCGGAGCAAATGTGAGTTTGGTTCTTGGCAATACTATCCTTTGGATCTCAACCTCTCTGACTGTATAGTGGACTGAGAGAAAGACTGAGATAAACTAAAAGAGGAACCTAAGGAAAATCTTGCTAAGTGAATTATGTTACACTATTCCAAAGAAGCCCTGGCTCAGTGCCAGCACCACCATATGTTAGAGATCCCATTTTGACCTCCAAGGGCCTTTCTTTTCTTGTTGGTTAGCTCATATGTACCAAAGTAGTGCTACAGTAACACTTTGGAGATTTCCAGTTCTAAGAAAGTGTAAAGAATTAATTGTAAGAAATGTCTAAAGGACATTAAAAATGACCAGATTACAAAAGGCATTAAATAGCTATTTCTTAAATTGACATTACTACACCTGATGTTGGCCCCCAGATTCATAAGGAGTCATGATGGGCATAGAAAATAGGTAGATTCAACTAGACAATGTCTACAAAGTGTGAAAAGCAAGAGAGATAATGCACTTGCTCTTGAAAAATAGAAAACACGACCACTACCTTGATCAATAACAGTATTTCATGCCTGTTTTAATTTCACCTAAAATCCAAAAGTTGTATTGAACCTTCTGGGGAAAAAAAACTAATGGGAAATTCCTTTTAAATGAATAATGAACTTAATTTTAATCCTCTCATCCCCTATTTCAATATTAAAACGTGTTCTAACCCTGGTCCTATGAAATACATTCTAGAAATTCATATATGAGTCTGTCTCAGAAGAATTCTGACAAGCATGCTGAAATCCATAATCAGTTTGATATCTGATCACAAGAGATGCCCAGAAGACATATCTCAAAGGTTTCGTTTGGAAACCAACCTCAAATAATCACTCAGTGTTCAAAGTCAATACCTATTAATACTTGTACATATGGTATTAATTCCACATTAATTCTGTCAAAAGTGATATCATAGCTGGAAGTTCCAAATGATGACATCACTAAAACAACTTGGTTTTCATGAGCATGGAACTGGCCAGTGCCAAAATCCAGTTCAATCTATTCATCTGTCTATTCTGACAAGTTCAGTTTAATTAGTTCATGGCCTCATAATGAACAAGAGACCAACTTTCTGTCCAATTGCCAAAGCCGTTTCTATTCTCTTCAACTTAAGGGCCAAGTGCTTACACTGCTTTGCCCAATTTATACCTTTCCCTATAATTACTGGTCCCCAAGGTGTGATTGTCCTTTTTCATAAGAGTTTGTGCAGCTGCCAACACGAAGTTGTAAATAAATTGCAATACTGCTGCTATGAGGTGTAAAAATCCCACAGCTCATATCCAGAGCCTTGTATAATAAACTCAAGTAAACATTCCATTTCCTGTGAGTGATTGTCGTCTGTGACTAGATTTAGAAAACAGGGCAGTAAGTCATCTTTCTTTAATGAGTCATTGAAAACAAAGTCGTATCCCATGAAACCAAAACCTGGCCTTGACAAAAACAAATAGATTATTTGTAAAAGACCCTCCGAAGGGGGATATATTTCTTTGTAGCTTATGATCTGAGATCCATTTTTCAGTCACATGGAGCTTAAACAATAGCAACCCTAATCTCCCGCCAGCACCCACACCCCGAAAGGAGAAGCGATTGGTTTTCTAGTGAGGGAAGCAATGTGCTATTGGAGGGAAGAAAAAGAAAATCAAATGAAGAGAAACTCAACTGGGTATATATAATCTCTGTGCCTCGGTTTCTTTTCCTGTAACGTGGGAGCAAGGATGCCTCCCACGCAGGATCTATGTTATTATCAAACTTAATAATTACATGCAAACCACTTTGCATTTAATGGCCCTGCCCAGCAATAAGTGACACATAAAATTGTAGCTTTTTTTCTCCCTTTTCTTTGTATTAGTCAGAAAACTGGCATTTTTGGTTTCTCTTGGACCAGCCCTGAGCCCATGGGGTGTAGTGGCTGCAACTGAAGAAAAAAAGCCATATTTTTCTAGCATGACCATTCTTGCAACTTCCGACAAAGCTATTTGCTTAAATGGCCTTATTAGTGAAAGGCAGTCAAGATCACTGAGATGGTACCTTTCACTAATAATCCAGTAGTGCTTTGAATTTTATTAAAATCATTGAAATTGTTCTCATCTTTTTTTATAAAGATGGTTCATTAATTATTTTCCTTGCTTAATTACAATTGAGAGAGTTAAAAGCTACTCATCAGAAAGTCATCCCATGGAACTCAGAGAGATCATAGCTTTAACAAGAAATGAATTTTATATTCAAACCAATTAGTTCAATGAATAATCACTAGTTAATGTCACTGTATGCCCATCAATACCCCAGTCTTACACTGAAAGATGAAGGGCTTGGGATTTAGCTCAGTGGTACCACGCCTGCCTCGCAAGCACAAGGTCCTGAGTTCAATACCCGGTACCAGAAAAAAAAGAAAAGAAAATAAATAATCAACAATTCTGGCCTTTATATGGTAGAGACCATTAATGCTGCCAAATATACAATAATTTCTCCAACATTTCCCAGCCTCCTCTGCAGCTATCTTGGGACCATTTGACTGGCTCTGGTCAATGGACCCTAATCAGAAGTGATATGTTTTACTCTTGGTTAAAGGAAGTCCATAGCCTGCATGCCTCTTTCTCCTCTTTTCTCTAGGTATAGAGACCCAGGAAAATATGTTCCAGATGACAGAGTACAAGACGGAGGAGAACCAGATGACTCTCAGAGAATTTCATGCCAGTGAGAGATTCAATGTTATAAAACTAATATGACTATTAAGGATACACGGTTTGTTTAGAGTGTTTTGTGTTAATTGCCTGTCCTTTTCTATGGAACTGCAGTTCAGAGTTCACTTTGTATTCTGAAGAGGTTATCCCCCAGGTATTATATGGCTCCTATGCACAGTCCTCAGTTAAGAAGAGCTCTTTCCACCTCCCACTAGGTTGTTTGGCTTTCTAAGAAGAGTTTCCTTTCTACAGCTACCATGGGAACCCACCACAACCTCTGAGTGCACACCACTCTACTTCCATCAGGTCCTACCACAACTACTATGATATGTGTCATTACCACGAATTAGGTGACTTAAAACAACCCAAGTTTATTTTCTGAGTTATAGAGGGCAGAAGTCCAAACTCAAGATGCCACAGGACTGGTTTGGAGGCTCCTGAGGAGAATCCCGGCTCTTGCTGGCCTCTCCACCTTCTGGAGGCTGTGAGGTTCTTCCGGGTCTTTGCTCTGTACCTCTGTCTACACCTTTCCATTGCCTTCTTTCCAGTCTGTCTTTTGAAGGACAGTTGTCATTAGAACTTGGGCTAGACAGGTAGTTCAGGATGATCTTCTCTTCTCAAGATCATTAGCTTAGTTACATCTGCAGAAACCCTTTGTCCAAAATAAGATCGATTCACAGGTTCCAGGATCAGAATTTGGACTTATCTTTTTAAAGATCACTTTTTGCTTATCACAGTGTGCCAATGTGAAAAACCAGAACTCTTTCTTCCTCCGTCTGTATTAATTTCCAATAGTAGTTTCTAAAGCAATGTTGCCTTGCTCCTGAATATTTTAGAGATTCAGTTATAGACAGACTAAAATATACTTAGTTTCTTTGTTTCCACTTCCTTCAGATTCTGACTTCGGGCAATGGACAAGTTTCTCAGCTAACTTCATTAGACTCTGATTCCTGAGTTTGACCTCAAACCGAAAAAAAATGTTTGAGAGGAAGATGTTTCCTCATTGTAAAGATACTTTAGTCCCTGACTCACAAGTGTCTGTGGCCATCCTAGCTAATGGTTCATGAGCACATCACCAGGACTTTGATTTCTAAGAATACTCAAATATAAATTCTAGGCATAGTGAGCTATTTTGTATATTTCAGTCCCGTGAGACTCTGAGGTCTTGTAACCAATGGATTATCTCTATTTTCTTGCCTCTCAATATAAATGCTTTTCTGGACTTTAAAATGCACTAAATTAATATTTTAACAAGCTATATTGAATCATCCTCAGCATCCTCATCTTGAATAACTAGTGTATGGCTGTAACCATGATACACCAAAATGAGAAAAGGACCTCAAATCATATCCTTAACCCTCTCGCTTTATAAATGAGAAAACTGAGATCCTCAAAAGGGTAAATGACTTCCAATCACCAGCTTTTTCAGTGGTAAGTCACAGCCACTGGTTTATTGTTTGGAAGTGTCCAGGAATGTTGACTTTTGAGTTGAAAGCTTGGGTTTGAGCCCTAACCCGAACACTGACTGCCAAAATGTCCTCTAAGGAATTCACTTGGTCTCATTTGGCTCCAAATCCCATTCTGTCAAAAGGAGGTAGATGCTACCATGACCATCTGTGCAACTCAACTACTTATTGTATGCAGAAAATGTTATGATTTTCAAATAAAGTGAGAATCTATAGACAAGAACTAAGAACATGGGCTTTAGAATCTCATTTCCTAGGTTCAAATTCCAACTCTAACACTTGCTATCTATACAACTTGGGACAACTTATTTAACCTCTCTGTGCCTCAATTTCTCTAAACAGGGAAGAGTACAAGTGTTCACTGCATAGAGTCAAGGAAAGAACCAGAGGATACTATATCTGACACTGAGTAACTACCAATCAGTAGTTTAGTGAAATTTAATTTCTAGTTTTAGTGAAATGTATTCCTGGAATGTGTTCTAGGCTAGTTTCCCTTTGTGTTTTCAGTCTGATTTTGGCACTCTGCCATTATCCTGCATATCCACATGTTTTGTCTCATTTTGAATTATTAAAAGAGTAAAGATCATAGAAATCTTTGTATTAATTTATGAATCCTCACGTTAACAAAAGGGACACAGACAGCCAAGGATAATACATCAATATTACATCATGTTGCATCAAAGCAGCCCTCTGATACTCTAGAAAGGTCCAGCTTTGAAAGAAGATGCTAAAGTATTAAACACATCACAAGTGAGATTTTCCTAAGCTCCCCCAGGAGTGATACGATTTAACCTGTGGTTGTCACTTGGCACCCTAGTACTCCTTTAGGAATGCCATTGTCTATTTAACCTGTCCTGAAAGCCAAGAAAACTATAATTTTATTGGCAACAAATGACTACATGTTTATAACCCAAACCTACCTCCATGACTAACAAGGGTGACTCATTCATTCCTCCCTGCTTTACTCTTTCATTCCCCGCTCCTTGGTATGTTCCACACTCAATTCCCTAACCATCAGATTTAGCTTTGCCCCCAAAACTCAACACATGTCCCCTGTCACTTCAAAGAATTAATTTCTGTCCTCTTCTCTTCTACGCAGTAGAGCATAACATCCAGAAGGAAGGAACCAAGTCTGCCGAAACCTAACACAATTCACCGATGTTGCACTCAGAAATGCCTTATTAAACATAAATGCAAATCTATCCTTTTTTATCTTTTTATTAGTACATGTTTATATTATCTGCAGTTTACAGTCATCTTGGGGAGTGGGTACCTACACACAATGTGAAGCTATTCTCAAAAGACTTTCAGCCAATTACTGATTTGACATTTTTTAATCAGCAGAAATCCCACTATGTTTTGAACAAAACACATAAAATACAACTTGAAATTTAAACAACATTTTATTTTGAGTAAGATGGCCGATTAGATCTCAGTCTTTATTATACCCACAAAAGCCAATGGTTAGATATGTACAAAAAAGTACTCTGAGAACTCAGAAGTCCTGCTAAAAAGCCTATAACAGCACAGTTGAGTGAAATCCCAAAAATTAACCACAAAAAATAGTAGAAAAAGTTTCATTTTGCCCACATCATCTCACTGCCAGGCTGACACAGCTCAGTGGTGAGTGGGAACTCTCAGTCTTTGAGTGGCCCTGTGGAGGAAAAAGGAGAACGGATGGATGACCGGCTTCCCCACCAGGCCCCAGTGTTTCAACTGGAGAACACAGAGAGTGGTTTGACAGACATCTAAGGTCAGCTAGGAACAAAGAAGAGAGGGAGCAGTTGTCAGTAGCGGCCAGTGACAGGAGTCAGTCTGGTGCCCAGCAGCCTGCTCCGCTAGGAGCTCATCAGCCATGGACCCCACCAGAGTAGCCCTAGGTGTCACCATGTCATCACCACTGGAGCCTGGTCTAGGACAGAGCTCAACTACAACACAAACGCCCGCAAAGTGCCCCAGGCCCCGCCACGGATCCGGCACCCACTGCTGCCCACACACCTGCCATTGACCATGCAGCGAGGACACACAGCCACCCACAGCGCCTTCTGCTGGCTCCATTGCAGAAGCAACATTAAATCCTACAGTGCTGGGAGGGGGACTACACATTCAGTTTTGTGTAAGTTTAAAGTTAAGTTGCTATAAGCTTCAAACAGCTGTGATAACTGTAAGGCATTTTATGTAAGCCTCATGATAACCAGAAAGCAAAATCCTATGGTAGATACACAAAAGATAAAGAGGAAAGAATCAAATTATATCACTGCAGAAAATCATTGAATCGCAAAAGTAGATGGCAAGAGACCTATAAAGGAACAAAGGATCTGTGAAATAGCTATAAAACAATTTAGAAAATGGACATAGGAAGTACTTGTCAACAATTTAAGTGCAAAAGTACTAAATTCTCCAACAGAGAGATTAGCTGAGCTAAAAAGGGAAAAGGAAAAGGCACAACTCTAACCTGTCAACATGATAGCATAAGTTAACTGAAAGTGAAGAGATGAAAAAAATTCCATTAAACTGTAAACCAAAAGACCACAGAGGTAATGATACTCCTATCAGACAAAATAGACTTTAAGTCAAACACTGAAACAAGAGGAAATAAAACTCATTATAGAATGATACAGGGACCAGATGGTGAGAGGGTAAAACATCAGAACATAAACACAAAGCAAATATTAACCGATATGAAAGGAAAAGTAGGCAACATTACAACGTGAGGTGACTGTAATATTCTAATTTCAACAGTGGCCAGATGATCCAGAAAGAAAATCAGTACGGAAAGTTCAAAGTGAACAAGCTACAAACCAAATGCACCAGAGTGACACAGAGAGAGCTTTTCACCCAACAGCATCAGAATACATGTGCTTCCCAAGAACCCACAAAACATTCTCCAGGGTAGACCATATTTCAGACCACAAAACACCTCTTAACAGATTTAAGAAGATTTAACTCATATAAAGTGTCTATTGTAAATACAGTAATACTGAAGCAGAAATCAAGAACATGAGGAAAGCTGAACAATTCACAATTATAGGAAAATTTAAAGAATGTCTTCCAAACAATCAGTAAGTCAAAAACAAAATTCAAAGGGAATCTGAAAAATATTTTGAAACGTATAATAATAAAAACACAAAACTTATGAGATGCAATGAAAGCACTCCTAAGAGAAATTTATAGTGATAAAAACATACATTTAAAAACATAAAAAAGATATCTCAAATATATAGCAAATTTTATACTTCAAGGAACTACACAAAGAAGAGCAAACTAAGCTTAATGTTAGTAGAAGGAAGGAAAAAACAAAGATCAGAAGAGGATTGAAAGAAATAGAGCCTGGAAAAACAATAAGAAAAATCAATGAAAATAAGAGTTGATTGTTTGAAAATACCAAAAAAATTAACAAACCTTTACCTACTCCAACTAACAAAAAATATAAAGCTCAGATAAATAAAATCAGAAATGAAAGAAGAGACATTGTAGTTGATGCCATAGAATATAGAAAATTATTAATGACGACTATAAACCCTTACTTACATAACAAGACCCAAGAATCTAAACCAGTCATGGGACTGAATTAGTCATCAAATCTGTCCTACAAAGAAAAGTCCAAGACTGAATGGCTCACAGCTGATTTGTACCAAACATTTAGAGAGGAATTAGTACCAGTCCTTCTCAAATTGTTCCAAAAAAAAAAAATGGAAGAGGAAGAAACACTTCCAAACTCATTTTACAAGGCTAGAATTCCCCTAATATCCAAACCACACAAGGACACTACATGAAAAAAAAAATTACTGGTCAATGTCACTGATAAAGACAAATACAAAAATCTTCAAGAAAATACTAGCAAGGTGAATTAAACAGCACATTTAATGTAATATACACCATGCCTAAATAGTTTATTTTTTTTCTAGGACATAAGACCCTTTAAGCATCCACAAATCAGTCTATTAAAAGAATTAAGAATGAAATCTCAATAAATATAGAAAAATCTTTTGACAATATTCAACATACTTTATGATAATAACTTGGAACAGATTACATATAGAAACAAATGTACCTTAGCACCATAAAGTTCACGTGTGACAAGCCCACAAACTAACATCAGTTTCAATGGTGAAAAGCTAGACAGTCTTTTATAAGATCAGGAACCAGATACTGACTCCTACTTCTATTCAAGTAACATTCAAGTAATGGAAATTCTTACCAGAGCAATTGGGCAAGAAGAACCCTTCAATTTAGAAAGGAATGATTACAATCATCTCTGTTTGTAGACAACAGAGAAAACACTGAGAACTGCATTGAAAAAAACTGTTTAAACTAATAAACAAATAATTTAAAAGTTGCAGGATTCAAAATCAATATATAAAAATTATTTGCATTTATATATACTAACAAAAAACTATTCAAGAAAAGAAATTAAGTGATCCCATTAATAGTAACATCAAAAACAATAAAAATACTTGAAAATAAATTTAACTAAGGGTCTGAGAGATGTGTAAACACAAAACTATACCATACTGATGAAAGAAATTGAAGAAGACACAAGTGGAGGGAAAGCTATCCTGTGTTCATTGATTGAAAGAATTATTGCTGTAAAAATGTCTACCTGAGGAGTAAAAGCAAGGATCAAGGAAGAACAAAGCAGCAAGTCTAGGTCTTGGAGTAAGGCCACCAGGATCTCACTATGTAACCATCCTGGCCTCTAATTTATAATTCTCCTGCCTCAACATACTGAGTGCTGAGATTACAGAAGCAGCAAAGAAGGGAGCTACCCCATGTGAGGACCTGAAAGTCCAGATCTACAGATTACGTGGTCAACTGTCCACAGAAGAATTTTGACCAGCATTTCAAGGAGTGGAACACAGAAATGACATACAGATTGGATGCTTATGCAAAGCTAACATCCTACACTTTAAATTTTAGAGACAATGAATATCTGAGCAAAGGAATATTTGGTGAGCCTCCATCTTTTCCCCATAATGTTCCTAAGAAAAATATATTACCATAATTTAAGTACGTTTCATACATTATTGTGATTTTTGAGCATGGCTATATTTGTATACACATTCTTCATTTTTTAATACAGTTAGTTTTGAATTCAGTTGAAGTTATTTATAAAAGAAACATGTATATTAATTGTTATTAATTGTACATGAAATAAGCTAATGTCTCTGAGACCTGGGAATATTGACTTTGTTAGATAATCAAAGGTTTCCTGGGAATATGAATTGCTAAAATTTTCTAGTTTTGAATATCAGCACAACATTTCAATATGGTGTTTAGCTAGTGTCATAATCATAATAGTGAACAATACAAGAGAGTTCGTAAAGATATGTAAATTGATATATTTTGTATCAGTAATTTTTACTAACATTTATACTTTAAAATTATACTGATGAACACCATAAGGCAGGTCTTAATTAAATTCGCAATGAAAACTCTATGCATTTTCTAAGAAATCTCATCCATATTGACAGTAAAGAAACCCACAAATGCTTTAAAACATAGGACAATTTTTATTATTGAAAAAGGAACTGCTTTGCATACTCCCTAGTTTAATGTTGAAGAACAGAAGCAATGTTGATTTGTCTCTATCTTTCATGTGATCCTATAAGTGACCACCAAGAGCTGGATGGATTTTTCTAAGGAGTTCTAGAACTGAACCCAGGGCCTTATGCATGCTGAACATGTTCTCTACCCCTGAGCTACACCCACAAGGGTCTGGATGAATTTGATGTAAATTCCAATACCAACAAGATTGAGAGGCTCCATGTTTTCCATGTAATTTTCCTGAGAAAGATATGTTACCATAATTTGAAAATTTGTAGTGTGATTAGAAAAGATTCCTGGATGGATTAAAAAGTAAAATTATAAAAGCAGAAAATAATGTCTACATGATATTAACAAAAACCATATGATCATCTCAATACATGCAGAAAAAGCATTTGACAAAATTCAACATTCATTCATGATAAAAAAAAATACCCTACAGAAAATTGGAATACATGGTCTTTTTCTCAACTTGATTAAGACTATATATGAAAAACCAACAGCCAAAATCAGACTAAATGGTCAAACGCTGAAAACCTTCATGCTAAAATCAGGAACAAGATAAGGATGTCCACTATCACCACTCTTGTTCAATATAGTCTTGGAAACATTAGCCACAACAATTAGACA